TAGGTCGATGAAACTCTGAGTTTAAAAAAAAAATACAAGTTAATATATATCTCTGGTTAAAGAATATAGAGAAACTAGAAAGTTTGTTAAAAAATTAAGTTGTTCTTCTCTGAAATCTTTCAAAATTGTTCTTGCAAATGATTAGCGCAACCCTAAAAGACTATTTTCATACATAAATAGTAAACGCTCTGTAATAAATCAGATCTCATCTATGCAAATCACCAGTTCCAGTGAAATCATTACCTCTGACAAATTAAAATAGCTCACTTTCTTAACAATCAGTTTCAAGCCGTTTTTAGCAAAAAGCCATCAAATGGCAATCTTCCCCATTTTGATCGTAGAACTAACACAATCCTCAACAACATAACTTTTGACACTCAGGCCACTCTAATGGAACTCTCATCACTAGATATATCTAAATCACTTGGTGTAGACAATGTCAGTCCTCACGTTTTACGCTTTTATTCTACCTCAATGTCTACTCCACTTACTCTCATCTTTCAAAAGTCATTTGAGAATGGTGAAATTCCAAACTCATGGTCCAAAGCAAATGTAACACCTTTATTTAAGAAGGGCTCCAGAATCGACCCATCAAACTAAAGACCAATATCTCTTACCTCGATTCCATGTTTAATAATGGAGAAACTAGTCAATAAGACAATCATGCAGCATCTAAAATTAAACACTCTTCTATCATATAGTCAGTATGGCTTTTTAGAGAAAAAAGCATGCATTACAAATCTCCTTGAAACAATGGATTTCTTAACTGGAAATTAGGCCAGAAAACTACCAGTTGACGTCATATTCTTGGATTTTGCCAAAGCATTTGACAAAGTGCCACATCAACGAATGCTTTACAAACTAAAAATGTACGGAATTGAAGGTAATCTTCTCAACTGCATAAAAACTTTTCTACTTAACAGGTCTCAACGAGTCATCCTTGGTGACACTTATTCAAATTGGTTACCTGTGACAAGTGGAGTTCCGCAAGGATCAGTCTTGGGTCCAATCTTATTTGTCATTTTCGTGAATGATCTGCCAGATGTAATAAGCAAAGAAAACATTTCTAAGATCTACGCTGATGACACTAAAATTCTAAGCATTGTCAACTCACTTGCTGCTCAACTTCAACTCCAATCAGATATTGACCAAATTGTTCATTGGACTAAGTCTTAGCTCATGAAGCTAAATGCAAAGAAATGCAAGGTCATGCACTTTTGCCAAAAAAATTAACTCCTTTCAAGTACTCAATGGAGGAAATATACTCTTGTTCAATAACGACTCGAACTACATTGGAAGCAACCACCTCTGTGCGTGACATGGGAATTCAAATTACCAATGACCTTAAAGTAGAATCGTTGCCTCATGTAAAGCAAATAAAATGCTAGGCATCCTAAAACACACTTTCCAGTCTCGTCATGCTTCTTTATGGAAACAACTTTACTCCACCTACGTCCGTCCTTTACTTGAGTTTGCAATTCCAATTTGGAACCCTCATTTGGCGAAGGATGAACAAAGTATCGATCTAATACAGCGCAGAGCCACAAAAATACCAGACAAACTGAAAAAGTTAGACTACAAGTCCAGGTGTTTACAACTTGGCCTATCTACTCTAGTTGAACGTCGCAAACAAGGTGACCTCATCCAAAAATAAAAAATTGTTAATAACATTGACATAATCAACTGGCACTTCCACCAAGAGCAAATCACAGAAAAAGACTTCATCGTGAAAAGTGCAGCAACCATTTAGCTCGTTTCCAGTTTTTTAACAATCGCATTGTCAATGCATGGAACATGCTACCAGATAAAGTAATCAATTTTCCAACCGTCAACAGTTTTAAAGCAAGCCTCGATAGACTCTAATGTTACTACAGTTTGCAGCTTTCCTTAGTGAAAATTGTAAAATGAGCTTCACAAAAATTAACTGTAATCTGACAATCTAAATTTTTACTTTTGTTGTAACAAATGTATACTACTACTACTACTACTACTACTACTACTACTACTACTACTACTACTACTACTACTACTACTACTACTACTACTAATACTAATACTACTACTACTACTACTACTACTACTACTACTACTACTACTACTACTACTACTACTACTACTACTACTACTACATGGGGATATTTCGAATTTTCCAAAGAATTAAAGAGTTTAAAATATAAACTCTGTAAAGTTATTCTCAAAACACCTGGCTCAACAAAAACAGCTATTACAAGGCATTTAAAAACAAAACACAAAATTAAAATTCTTAAATGAAATAACTCTGCACCGGAGGCTGCAGCAAACTTTCCTGCTGCCAAAATATCGCAAACTGAAAGTTTTTTCATAAATGGCCATAAAACTCTACCTGAAAATTTGAGTCGCCAATCAGCTTTCAAACCATTGCTAAAAGTGAAACTTTGCGATTTGCGTTTCGTGCCCAGGGATAACAAATCTCTCAAAGTCCTCAAACCGTTTGCGATCTTGTCGTTAAATACTTTACGTTAGTCAAGAAACAGGTTATAGGTTCTTTGAAATGAAACTTGAAGATAAACTTAAATTTAGTCCTACACTTGATGAATGTACTTCAGTAAAAAACAGAAGATATATAAACTTAAATCTACATTATAATGAAGGATACCAATTGCTTAGAATAATAAGAATCCAAGGTCCAATGCCAGCAACAAAAGCTATTAAATTGATTAGTGATAAGCTTAATTCATTTGATTTAACAAAGACACTGTAGCTTCTGTTACTAATGGAGCTAGCTTAAAAAAAAAAATTGGTCATGAAACTAAACCTAAACATCAAATGTGTTCCAACCACGCTATTCATCTACGTGTGATTGGTGTGATCTGTACAAAAAACATAGTTGATACGCATGGTTCTGATAATAACCATGGTGATATGGAAGCTGTAGATTATGATTACAGTGATGATGATGCAACTGAAGTTGGTGATGATATTCAAACTGATCATGAAGTTAGTGAAAATTTTATTCCACTATTGAACTTTGAATATCAAGGAACTGTGGCAAAAATAAGAAAATTAGTTAAAAAATTGCGTAGATTATCAGTGAGCATCGATGATGAACTTCAACCAAATATAATTTAAAATTTTGAAAAAAAAAAAGCTTAGATTTGTGATTCAAGGACAAGATGGAGTAGCACTATTAATACGCTTAAACGTTTTTTTGAGGTGCAAACAAAACTAAAATAACTCTGATTGGTATTAGTATTGGTTTTCCTCTAACTAAAAAGGATTTTACAAATTTCATTTATGAGCTTGATGTCATAAATTAACTTTGTGTTGCTTTAAAATCATTAAAATTGGCCATTGATACTCTTTCAAAAGGAGATGCTGATCTTTTGTATTCCGAAATTGTGATTGAACTTCCAAGAAAAAAGCTTCATGAAGCTAATACATCTATAAGTCAACTTTTTAAACAGATATTTGAATATGTAATATTTGGAAGAAGAAACATTTCTTATATTTATCTCATGAAATACTTGTCACATCCGAATGTTTTAAATTAAAATAATCAATTTGACAACAAGGTTAAAAAAAAGACAATTAATAATCTTGCTACTAATCTCATTCAGCAATTATTTCAGCCATCTGACGATAGCTCTAATGATGACAAGGAAGTAAACAGTATAACTGATAGTATAAGTGAGTATAATGTATCAAAAATGAATTGAATTTAGATCAATAACTCAAACTTTTTATTGAACAATCAGACAATAAATAAAACATGATCATCAGGAAAACTGAAACAAACCTTGTTGAAAAGAAAATGGCTGTTTTTGAATCTAGAAATACTAGGCCCAAGTATTAGATTTACTTTTCAAAGTCTTCAAACATTTCCTCCTACATCCGTAGAAACTGGGAGCGCTTTTTCTAGTCTTGGACTTTTTGCTACTAAAATAAGAAGTTCTTTAAATGACGAAACTTTAGATGTGCTAACTTTTTTAAAGCAAACTATGAAGCGTACTTATTGATGTTATTTACTTTTGTGATAATTAATGATGATAAACAAATAAATAATTTTACGCATACTTTGTATTACTTTTGTCTGATTTAACATAATTAAAACAAAGTTCAAAATAGTTCAAACTTTTAACTAAAAATCAACGGTATTCAAAGTTGAAATAACGTCAAGTATCCAATGGGCTGGGCCAAGAATTTGCAATTGAAAATAGGATCGGGTGGGGGTAATATGTATAGAATTTTAGATATATTTTCTTTTAATATAATTTTTTTTTTTAGTTAAGAATTGCCATAAAAACTTTTGTTATTTTTCTTATCATTTAGGGTGTATACAATAAAATCACAATGAGTAAAACATAAATATATTTTAAATAACTAATTTACTAATCTTTTTTTAACAACACCTTTCATATATCCAAATTTACCCACTGGTGGGGTAATATGGATACTCATATTATATTTATATTTGATACAAATATCACACTTATTATCACAATATTTGATACATATATCACACTTATTGCTTTTCACGGATTTAAAAAGTCAAATTGTATTGGTTATGTCTTGCAGTTTTCTTTTTCTTACTGATACAGTCTTCTTTTCAGCTTTATTCTTATCTTCTTCTTGCAGACAATATCTTGTGCTGTTAAAATTTTTCCTTTTTTTGCCTAAACACGTGCTCTGCGTTTTTTTGAATTCGCAAGTGCTGTCAGTGTAGATTGACTTGGGCTAGGTGTAAGTACTGAATCAATTGCTCTGTAAAAAACCTGCATACAATGCTAGTTTGCAGATTTTTTACAAAATTTTCTTTTTTGTTAAACTTGTCTCCTTCCTCATGCTTTGGTTGCATATTCACTATCTTTTTAATAGGTTTTGATTTGTCAACAAGGTAAAGACCACTACCATTAAAACCACTTTTCAGGAGTTTTCTATCTATTTTACTGACAAGAGCTTTTAGCAAAGTTAGAAATACAGACTCGTCAACATTTTTATGTCTGCTTTCTCTAAACCAATTTTTAAGGATTTTCTCTCAATGGAGCAAAAAAACCAACATCAAGAGGTTGTAATGCGTGAGTTGTGTTTGGAGGTAAGCAAAGTAAAATTATATGATTGTCGAGAGCTTTTTTAACAGTAGAATATGTTAAATGGCTGTCGGATCCGTCACGCAGCAGCAACACAGGCTTTTCATATTCTTTTACATGTATAATAAACTTATCAATCCAACTTTCAAAAATATATCCAAAAGGATATCCATCCAAAGGGATTTTGTTACACCATACATTGCATTTTCTGGTCCATTTTGACACCATGCATCATAAAGGTGGATGGCTTTGTAGACGACAAAAGAAGGTAAACACTGGCCATTTGCTGACCCACAAAACAGTACAGTATACATTGATTTACCACATGATGAAGCAACATAATAGGCTGTTTTTGATGTTTTACGAACAAAGATTTTTCCTGCTGTAGGATCTGTACGTAAACCTGTTTCATCTATATTAAATATGCAATGTGGTCTATCAAATAAATTATTATCGTTTAATGTCTTCTCATAAACTCAAAAAATCTGTCAATGTTTTCAGAGAAAGATCATTAGCTCTTGCTTTGGTCAAAAGTTCAGGTTTTCTTTTTTCCAGAACTACATTCCATGTTTTTTCAAAAGACATGCACCAGTCTCTCCCTGGATTGTCATCTTTGAATGGAGTTTTTTTGCCAGTAAATGTGTAAGATTTACCCATCAGTTTAATATCTTCTCTATCTTGTGGAAAACCCTTTTCAGCTAAGTACATCAGGACTTCTACTAGAAGACTTTCCTCAGTATTATTTTAAACAAACCCACGACCGCTTCCAATTCTTTTGTCATTCCTTTAAATTTGATCATGGGATCGTCTGTATAATGTCCCCTAAGGAATTCCAGAAGACTTTGATACACTGTATACTGACTATCCTTTCTTAAGAAGCCATATGGCAGTCATTAATTTGCTGTGATCATATGAACCAATAGTCTTGCGTTGATATTCACAAGACATAATAATTTATTTCAGTCATTATTTTATCTAAAATAATTTAAAACAAACTCTAATTATATAAAAAATATAATTTAATTATGAAGTAAAAAGGAATACAAAAATAAAATATAAAATATTTAGATTGGAGTTTAAATTTTACCCAAGCCATTCAGGCAAAACAAATTTTAACTATGATCGCAATGTAAATAATAGTTCAGAAGCATTTTATATAAAACTATTATATGTTTCTGAAAAATGTTTAAAACTTTATTAAAAAGCAAAAGTGAGCGTAAGTGTATATTTAAATGTCATGTAGCTTATGGTTTTGCAAAAAAATATTGTAATGTTAGTAGGATTTTATATATATCAGTTTTACCCCACTATTATTATACCAGTATATCCATTTTACCCCATTTTAGATTTTTGTTTATTTATCGATATTAGATAGAGAACTTATATTAAATAAATTACATTATATTTAGTTACTTATATTAAATAAATTAAATTTTAAATATTGTTGCATCATGGTCCAACTAATAAATATACATCATTAAACTTTCATAAGTAGTATTACTGAAGTCTGCAGGCAAAAGTTTAAAACATAATGTTTTTTATATATTTTTTGAATAACATGTTTTACATATTAACTATTTCATGCAAATCAAATATAAACATTGTTAACGCAAAAAAAAAAGAAGCCAATTATATGTAGAAACTGTTGGTTATTTTTAGGTTTTAGAATTATGTATAGATAACTTACTCCAATGATACTTATTGAATATATCCATATTACCCCAACAACCCATATTACCCCACCCAACCCTAGTCTAAAGTAGAAATTCTGACTTCTTGATTCTCTTTCAGACCGTTAGTTTTATAAAGAAACAGGAAGAACCATGCAGATTCTTATGCTTTTCTCTCGTGGTTAAAACTGACAATATTGTTTTTTATTTTGCAAACAATTTCCTTAACATTTGAACGTTCTTCGAGTTCATCCCCGACATTTGGATGTGCAGCATCAATTGGATGCATAAAAGATGTTTGGGCATTCACATGTAGTGTGAAAATAACATGATTTGGTTCAGGCTCATCTTGAGATAACACAGGTTGTTCTAGTGCATGTTGACGCAGATATTCACTCACATTCATAAATTCACTGATTATATTCACCACAATATGATGAATAGAAAACTGCTGGTTCACAGGACGAAATACACGTCTAAGAAATCACCAAAGTTCAAAATTGTATCACATTAAATGATGCAACCTGTTCCACTATTGGCACCTGAAGCTATTTTATAATGCTAGTATGAATTAGCAGTATTTTATATTGCTAATACATACTAGCAATATTTTATATTGCTATTAACTATTAATAGCAATATTTTATATATTATAACTATATATTGTAACTTATATTTTATAACTTATGTTTTATAACTTAAATTTTATAACTTATATTTTATAACTTATATATTATAACTTATATTTTGTAACTATTACTAGCAATATTTTATATTGCTAGTATAGATAATTTTTCAGGTTTATTTTATTTTTTATTTAGTATTTGAAAAAACAAAAAACATTTTATTACGTTTTTTATAACAGGGTTTTGTAGAAATTAAAAAAAAAAACAGTATAAAGTTTGTGTATACATATATGCATAGATACAGAGACGGATTAAGACTTCTTAGGGCCCGGGGCTAATTTTGTTTTTGGAGGCCTTTTTATGGGCGAGAGCCTAAAAATTACAAAATGACTAAAAAAAAAAAGAATTAGTAATAATCAGCAAAGTAATACTTGTCATTATAATGCATTAGTGTATAGATGTTTTTAGTGTATAGATAATTTTTAGTGTATAGACACATTAGTGTATAGATAAGTCAATGTTTTTGACAATCCAATTATGACGCCTTCATTATGTTTTGCAAACAATTGGTTCAGACTAGCAAGTAAAGTGAGCGACACTTCACCGTCGTTTCGTGCATCAATCAAATTTTCTTGATAGAGCCAATTACTGTCGTATTCTCTTTGGTACATAATGTAGTTGAGTCTCACAACATCAAGATTCTTGCTAGTGTTTCTTGACATTAGTGTCAAGAAACACTAGCAAGAATCGGAAAGGCTTCGGATTCACTTAATCGTGTAATTTCGCGAATTTCGAAGTACAAATCGTTTCCAGCAATCATATTTTCATTCAATATGTTTCTTGTCCATTGGCCTGGATCAACGAACAATGTTAGCTGTAGCCATTGCAAAGCATTGAATTCCTGCAAAACCTCTCGTAAAAACACGCGAGTTACTTTGATTCCAAGAAGCATGCAAAATTCTTGAAACATTTCCTATTGGAGTGTATGCACTTTGAAGCTGTACGTCACCTTCTGTTTTAACCGATAATGCTTGTTTATAGTATTTATTTTTTTTTTTGTTTAGCAATGCGTCTGCCTATATCATCTTCTGTTTCAGCCGCCCTTGCCTTAACATATCGTTCTCTTCATTTTTTTTGGCCGAAATGCTCGTTGCTCAGCTGATTCATTTGCTCTATCTAGCTCGAGATTTTCGTTCTCTTTCTGGAGCAAGACAAGCTTGTCGATCAACTTCAGTTTTCAGCTTTGTTTCCTATATTTAGCTTTCTTCTTTTTATATCTACAATGATAAGATATTTTTTTTACTTATTTATTTCAAAATCCTATTTTGAATTACTACTTATAAGTAAAGTATTAAAGCATAGCTTACTTTTTTACAGTAGAAAATCTATCATTTTCAGGTTTCAAATAGGTTTTTTTTATTTTTCAACAGCGATTCTATGTAATTACGTTAAACTAAAACGCTAAAAGCTTGTTGTTTATTGTTAATTACTTTCCTTAAGGAATTCTTTTATTTATGCTAAACTCAAGTCTGTTTTGCGTTGTTTGTTTTGTTAACTAGTTCTTTTATTATTACCGCTGACCTCGTGCTTGTTTTGCACGGACACCAAAAATAATAAACAAACAGACAAGAAAGCATGTTAAATAAAATGTTGTAATAAGGCCTATGTTACCCTACCCTACCCTAATGCGAAATGTATGAAAAGTCAAAAAAATAAAATAAAAATATATATTTGGCAGAAATGTGTATATCTTTAACTTTTCATGTTCCGTTTTTTTCTTTATTACAAGTATTTTTATACGTAAAATATTTATATCGTTTTTATATAAATATATACGCCGGAATTGTTGCAAAACTATGAGTCATGAAGTCATACTTTGTCAGTATTTTTGTCATACTTTGTCAGTATGTTATCTTAAGAGCGACTTTCTGTATGAATCAGCCAGAGACACTAAAATTTTTAGAGTGACCTCTTTCAAAATTTTTAAATAATGTTGCTATTCATACTAGAAGCTCATTTTCAAAAAAATTTCAAAAAATATTAATTGGTTTTCTAGATTTTAGATGTCAAAGTTTGACTAAATTTTTCGAATTAACCAAATCGTGTCAAAGGTATTTTTTAACTCGAAAAAAAAAAACAAAGTAAATAATTTACAATGAGTATTTCACTTGATTATTGTTTATTGACTAGTTCAGACCAAAAATTAATAAAATTGGTAAGTAAAATTTTTTTTCTTGTCTAAATATCGTGCTACAAATTACATGAAAAATGATTTTTTTTGTCATTTTGATCTTCATTTTCATTCTAAGCCGCGAATAATAATCGCGCAATTAGGATTAATGAAAAGTTTCCAATTTTATGAATCCTTGATTTTTACCTTGTTAAACCCGAAGTGTGCATATTTATATATTAGATATTTACTTTTTTGGCATAATTAGGGGGTTTTCCGGTAACATGGAAACATCCTCCAATTGCGCAAATCCTTATCCCATAATTTTTTTTTTATTATTATAAATCTTTATGTAGTTAAGTACTTAAAAGTATTTGCTTTCTATGAAATAGAAACATTTTTATACAGTTTTAAAAAAAGTTAAAGAAATAGTTGCAGTATTTTGTAAAAAATTTTTACTTTATAATTGAAAATTGAGTTTTTGTTAAAATAAAATAAAAAAATTGATATAAATATGTTTGGACAACTACTTGTTTGAACACTGCTTAAGGTGGTACACCAGGAAGAAAAATGACAAAAAAATCTTTTTTTTTGATTTTGTTTTTAATTTTATGAAAGATTGACCTTTTAAGTTGAATTTAAAAAAAAAATTCGACATTCTTTTTTAGCTTAATTTTGACTTATTTGAGCCCCCTATCATATAAACTCCCTAGCAACCTCATAGCAACAAGTTTTTAACTTTATTTGGAAGTGGTTTTTAACAGCAATTTTGAGATGAAAGCATAAAATCATCAAGAAAGAATTGTTTTTGTTTTACCCGGTCTTAAACTGCATTGATAGATGTCACAAATTTTATTAAACAGTTTTAACAGTTCAAAATGATGTATTATTTTTTATTTCATGTTTTTTTGCATTTACATTTTTTTAGGGTTTTTTAAAATTCAATACATGATAGCTTAAGTAAAAATTATGTTAATCAGCTGAAATTTAATATTGATGCTCCGGTTAACCCATGGGTTTTTCTCGGATTTGGTTAGATAAAAAGTTATTATTATAAATCTATATATATATATAGAAAGTCAAAAATTTTCAAATTTTTCACTAAAATCGTGATATAAAGAGTAATTTTCAAAAAATTTAAAAATGCTGCTGTTTAACCCGCTGGGTTAAACGGTGTATAATAAGTTGTTTTATAACAGTATCAATTTTATTATCTTTTCACTAGATCAAGATATTATGTTTTGAAACACAGCCTTTGTTGTTGTTTTTTCCGCCATTATAGATTTTTAATAAGTTATTAATATTTATAACAATTTATTAAAACTAGTTTTAATCAAAAAGATACATTTTAAATAATATTTCACAGTTTTATTTTTTCCCTGGTTTTTCCATCTTAAGCTTTTATCATGTATATAATTTATATACAAGGATAAATTCTTGTTTATAGTTTATTTTCAAGGATTATCCTTGTATATAGTTAATATCAGTGGCGTAACTTCAAATTCTGCCCTCCCATCCCCCTCCCCCCTTACCCTTGCAAATCTTTCAAAAGAGGCCCCCTATCCCCCATACAATACATGACAATCTTGTAGACAATAATTTTATGTTTTTATTTATTAACCCACTTTTGAGAAATGCATGTCCGTACCGTGTGGGGGTTGTCGTGTGCGGTCGACCGCTCTTTTTTACCGAATTTTCTTTATTTCACCAAAGTTTTGGCATTTATATATTTATACATATATTATTATACACAGTACAGATGAGTGTTTTAAGACAAGTTGCCTTTATATCTGCAAATCGGTCAATAATCTGGTCAACATCCATAACTTTTGCCCACGAGGCTTCAATGCTCAACAAGGCTAAACCGTTAAGGTGTTCTTGACCCATCGAATTGCAATGATTAAAAGCAACTCAGAATTAAAAAGCAACTCAGCTTGCAGGGTGAACAGATGTGTTTTTAACAGCTTTCATAAATCTTTCTAAATTTGCAATCACGAAGAAATATATATATATAAACTTACATTTTTTTTTTCGTATTTTGTATAAGTATAGACATTTTGTTTGAACTGGATTTTTATCATGGAAAAATAATCAGAAATTAAACGGAAAGCATTACTCAAACAACAAGAAAAAAACGTTTTAGATATTATAAGCGGAAATACGAAAATAATTAACAAGCGACTGGATAAAATTGAAAACATTCTAAATGAAAACATAAGTAAAATTAAAATACTCGAGAAAGATGTTGCAGATGTTAAATTAAGTTTAAATTTTAAAAAATCAACAAAGAAACATTGAAGATAGAACAAGAAGAGATAACTTAAGAATTGATGGGTTACCGGAAAATGATAATGAAACTTAGACACAAACGGAAGAAAAAGTAAAAATATTTCTGCTACTGTTGATTCTCCTATTACACTCCTAAGCATATCCCATCTGTTAATGCTAATCCCGAAAAATTTATATAGAGTAAACCACCCAGTGTTCGACGCTTTATTTCTTTGCATAATTTTATATAAATATTAATTTTTCACTTGTTATTTTATAAAATATTGATATCAATGCTTTATCGTATAAAGGGATAGTTGCTTTTTACAATACACTATGAGTGAATGACATCCGGAAAAAAAAAAGAGTGGTTATAGAACCCGAAATGTCAAAATGTTGAACACTAGACGCCATCCTAAGTTCGACATTTTCTTTTTCTAGTATTTGGCACGTATAAAATTTTTTTAAATTTAAGTACTTCTTCGAACACAGGTGTTTAAATAATACGTAGCAAAACAAAAATGTGTTCTGAGCCAAGGAGTTCTTAAGTAAATAAATGTTTGTATTGTTATTAAATGTGTTCATATTCTTCTAAATTATTCGATGAACGAATTAACGATTGCAACCAGCAATCGTTAATGATTGTGCAAATAAAACTTTACAAAACATCAATAATTCCAAACTTTACGAACCTTAAAAAATCCTTAGGGAATTGTTGTTTAACAATCATAACAATCCAGAAAGTAATATTTTTTAACAGTAAATCTCTAAAAATTCTAGCAAATAAAAAAAAAAATTCCGTCGATGACTAGAATGCAGTCTTGTCGAAGACTGGAATAAAATTCAATAACTTATAGAAGTGTTACTTTCAAACATAAATCTCCGGCCAAAATTACATAACATATGTGGCTCAGAACCCTTATTATACGATAAAGTAAAAAAAATAATAATTTTTTTTTTGTCGAATACTGGAAAACATAATAAGTTGCTTTCAGTCTTCGACACCCTTTCTACTCCCCACTTCCCTTTCAATTTTTTGATTTTAGTTGATTTTACATATATCTCTTCTATTTCAGTGTCAGCATGAAAAAAAATTTTTCAAATAAATTACATTTGTCATGCGTTTCTTGTGGTTATCTGGAAACAGTGAAAATTGTTCCTAAGAGTTAAGGATAATAACGGAACCTTTTTTTGCTCCAAATCATCGTATGCATTTATTTTTATGTTTACGATAGCCAAACTTCCTTCATATATAAAGGAAAGATAGGTGATCATTTCAGACTCTATTTTGCACTTAAGTTCAGTAAGTGTTTGCTCTATTTTTTAGTGACAAAAAGACTGGAAGGGGTGTCGACCACTGGATGGGTAACCCTATATTTTGCAGAACGGTGAAAAAATCACCAACTTCAGGAAAACAGCATCGTTTATAACAAGGTAAAGGTTATGTGCAGCGCAGTGAATATTTACCGCAGATGGTTGTTCATCACTAATACGTTTTTGAACACCTCCATAAACACCTGACATAACACTGGCACCATCGTATCCCTGCCCACGACACTTTTGTAAAGATATACCTTCCTTTTTCAGAGTTTCAACGATTTAATCAGACAATCCTTCAGAACATTAATCATGTGTCCAGAAGAAATCGATTAAACTTTCAGTTATTGATATCTTGGTTGCATTGCCATCACTATTGTTATGAACTTTTGCATAGCGGGTAGTTAAATTTAAATGGTCTTTCTTTGTACTGCTTGAGAGGTATCAGCAATGATTGAGTAGAACAATGCAGACTTGATTTCTTTTGTAATCTGTTTATCAAGATGCTCCGATAGTACGATAATTATTTCATTTTGAATTTTCGAACTCAAATATTTTATGTTGGGTTTAGGTTTATTTAAAAGTACATTTTGCAATAGCTTTTATCATTTCTATCACCAAATAACCAGCAAACTTCACAATAAGCAGCACTTAAATTTTTGGAATAGCACAACTATATCGATTGGATAATGCTCTCTATCAGTAGGATCTTCAAAGTTTACAAGTGCAGCAGAGTTAAATGGTTCATTTTCATTGCTTATAATGAGCTCTAGCGAGTCGTGATCAGACAAATCGGATGCAACAGTATTGTTTTTAAAACTGTTAACTTTAGAATTTAAATTTATTTGTAGTTCACTGATTTTACTGTCACTCTCTCTGGTATCCTTCTGTTCACTTTCCAAATTAAGTATATTTGCAACAGACTGTGTTTCTTCCTTTTTAGTCTGTGCCGGTAACAAAAATGATTCAATTTTACATGTTTTTTATATTCGTTAGCTGCTCCACTTAGAGATTTGCTAGCCATCATTAACACAATTTTTTATTTTTAAATCTAAATTTTAAATATATAATTTAAAAAAATAGTAGGTCTAATTATAATTTTATCATTAGTATCATTAACGATTTTGTTTTTTTGTTGTGTGACTCAACAAAAAAACAAAAATTTTATAAACAACTTTGTGGAATTTTCATTCGAATTTTTTATCACATTCGAAAGTTAAACTAAATGTGAAAATTAAAAGCCATTGCTTTTAATTTTGCTAAAATTCTTTTTTAAAACTTTGAAATTTAAATTTAAAAAAAAAAAGAAGGCGTTTGTGAGGCACTTTATCAAATGCCTTTGCAAAGTCTGTGTATATGACGTCTACTGCATGGCTGCTATGAATAACTTCCGTTATGATATTCCGAGTTTCTAGCAGGTTTGAGACGCAACCCTTGCGATGAGCAAAGCCATGTTGCTTTAGAGTAATTAAGTAATTAGCAACACAGTGTTCTATTATACCTGTTTCCATAGTTTCGCCACTGGTTTATATACAAGGATTAATTCTTAAATTGCTTAAGAAAAATCTTAAAACTGCTTAAGAATTTAATCTTACTAGGTTGGTTGAAAAGTTCGCGGAGCGGCACCTATCCCAGCCGGCACAAATACGTATATAATACGTTTTATATACGTATTTTAAAATACTATAATACGTATTTAAACTGTCTTGTATTTGTCTTAAACGCAAACTTTTAATACGTGTTATTAAATATGAATTTAAGACGTATTTCACATACGCTTATGATGCGTTTTTTATATATGTTTTAAACTCGTATATAAAATCACGTATTTAAGATTTGCGATCAAGACGTGAATAATACCTTTGCAAGATAACTTAAAAATCTTTTTTTGTGTCGTATTTTTTTATTCATTTTACTTTTTAAAAAGAACATAATCTTTAAATATTATATTTTTTTAAAAAAGTAAAATTAGATAAATAATTGTTTATCTAATTTTACTTTTTATCTACTTTTACTATTTATCTAATTTTACATTTTTATGTAATTTTACTATTTATCTAATTTTACATTTATCTAAAATACTTATATCTGTTAATTTAAAATAATAATTTCAATTTCAAATTATTAGATGCTTTTAATGCGAAATTATTGTAAACAAAAATATATATGTTATTTTTAGAGCAAAGAAGTTTTGATTTATTAAAAACAACTTAATATATCAAATCAATATTTAATTCAATCACAATACAACATTTTCAACTTGATGCTTGGTCGCGTTTTAGTTGTCCAGGGGCATTTTTTAGCTTATTTCCTATAGCTGCTGTAAGTGCTTTTGTTGAAACGTTATTGAATTGCCTGGTGACTACCTCTAAAACATAAATAATTTGATTTTCAGCTATTAATTTGGAAAAAAAATAAAAAATAGTTTACCATATTACATTAAATATTATTCTTTGTTATGCAATAAAATAAATTAACTTTCTTACCTTGAATCAAACTAAAGAATTCTAAATTCTTAAATGCTATCTTTGCTTCCCCTTGTCTAGATGACCCTTTCATGTTCATTTTCGACATTACAGAAATGCTAAATAACCTTAAACACATTTTTTAAAATAAACTTTTATTAAATAGATTTATGAAACAGAAATTTTCAAATATATAAATTGAGTTATTTATTTTAAATACAACATTATAACATACCTGTCTAAAATATTGCGCACCATTTCGCCACAATCATTTCCCCCTACACATTTTAACATTTCTATCTATAAACAGATATAACAAATGTTACAATAAAAAATGTATATAAAGTTAGAGAATTAACCAAAAACTAGTATTACTAAAAACTTCAACATAATGCGCGGGGGACCTAAAAAATAAAGTGTCACATAACTTGAATGGTCCTGTTTTGACACAGCTAGATTACTAAGTAACAAGAAGAATAAGCTTAACTAGATATTTAGTAGGTTACTTCACTTTAATTATATTTTCTTTTTGCACTTCATGCCTAGGTTTCAAACCAATATATTAACTTACAGCATTTCTCCTTACTGCTGCATCTTTCAATTCATCATTTGCAGCATATAGTTCTGAAATATCATTAACTTTAACTATATTGATAGCTCCACTGACACTCGGTGTGTTTAATAATCGGTTAATCCCATCTCTAATTTCTATTAACAACTTTAGGGATTGCTTTCGATATTCTAAATGATATGAGAAAATATTTAGCTATTTAACTAAAATGGCCCAATAACTAATAAAAACATTTAACTTACTTTCTTCAGACATAGAAAATTCATCTTTGTTGTCTTTTGAAGCCACAAAGTTAATAATTTCTATAAATAATAACATTTTAAAACTTTTAATAAATCGCTCAATAAATTTACTGACAACTTTGATAAAGATATTAAAGAGTATTGTAACTAATATTAAGTAACATATTTAATAATATTACTGATGGGTATCTTGATTAAGTATACATAAAAATTAAAGTGATTTATTAAAATTCTATTACAGTGTGGCAATTTTTACTGATGGTATAGCTGTGCTATAGCTATATATACCAGATGATATAGCTGTGCTATAGCTATATATACCAGTGTTTATTCCATTGCATAAAATTCAAATGTAAAAAAAAAAATTATTTTAAAGTTACCTTTAATATAGAGATAACACTTGAAATGAATTTAAGAAAGAAAAAATTTAATAAAAACAAACATAAATTTAATATATTTTGTAAAAGAGAAAACTAAAATCACCTTCCTTAGCAATTGGCAAGTCTTTTGCTTCATTTTCTAAAGAAATAATAATTTAGATGGGTTTCTGTTTTGAACTGATTTAAATATACATTTGATTTAAATTATAAATAATATTACGAAGGAAAAATATTAGGCAATTTGAAATCTTAGCACATCTAACAACTATTTCTACATTCAATATTATTTATTTTCAAACATTCATACTAGATCTTTTAATTGACGTTCCTGTTGTAAATTCAAAGGGACTTGTATGTCTTTTTGTTTTTACTGATACTCTAGACTCTGTATGATTGGTATGAAAATCTACAACGTGAGATTCTAATAAAAGCATATATAATAAAATAAATATATGAACATTAAAAATTATTATGTCAGAACAAATATTTCATGATTTTACTTTTGACAACTATTGGTAAATCTTGAATTAAGCTTTTTATAAACAAACTTTCAATATTTGTTGAAAAAACAACTTCTTTTATATATAGAATGAAAACTTGCATTAATAATAAAGATATGATTAAATACATAATTAAAAGAAAAATAATACTTTTATTTTCCTTGAAAGTGATTATTGGCGGTTTAGGAAGTTCGGGTTCGACACTAGTAATGATTCCTAATAAAATGTCATAAAAATATTTTATAGTTATAAACATATAAATTAAAAACAGCATAATAGAATTGAGCTATTAATATAAAAATTTATAACCTGCAGCATTTTCCAAACCTATTTCCTCCTCTGAGCTTCATTGCTCTGCTCCAGAAGTAAAATTATAATCAAGACATAGCTGTTTATCTTCTAAAAAAAACATTACCGATATACTATAACCAGATATATTACAAATATAGATTAAAATAATACAAGCAAACCACTTACCATCCACAATTTTAGTTTTAATCCATTTAAACTTTCTCCATGTTTTGTCAACGCTAATTTGTTCCAAAATGGCTCTTTGGGCTGACATAGTTGACGGCCAAAATACCACGCACTTATTTTCATTTACCCAATGGGCTGGAATTACATCTTCAAATTGAGAACCAACTTTTTCTTCCCACACAACTCTTGTCCAAAGTAACTTATTTTTAACAGTTTTGCTTGCCATATTTAACTTAACCAAGGCTAATATAAAAATAATTATCAAAGATTTTGTTTTTATATTTGACTAATTAGTAGATCATTGAACTAGAGAAAAGTAATTTTTCAGTTTTCTGCTATGCCCCATTGTAGGATCAATATCACCTTAATCTTTTTTATAACAAAAAAAATTTTTAACACAAAAATTAAAATTGAGAAAACTAAAGGAGTAATTAATATAATCAATTTTTATGTTAAACGTTGTATATTTTAAAAAATCTGCAATTAAATAAACAAAAATATTATGTTTACAAATATTAGTCTTATTTTATACAAAGATCACTTGTAAATAAAATCAAATAAATTCATGAACTAATGACATACAAATAAAACCATTTTTATAAGGTAACACAACAGCTTTTCTGATAAGTTTTGACTTACATAACATTTTTTGACAAAAACGAATCTTTTTCATATCTATTATACCAACATTTAATTCCTTAGAATCAATAGGACTTTTATACAAGGATACAAGTTGATCATTCTTAAAGGTATCACATATACAATTTTCTCCATCTATCTCTTTAACAAAACAGAAAGTGCTGTCTTCTAATAAAAATAAAGAGTCACGAAAACGAATACTAACTTTATTGACCAGGGTTTTTGTATTTTTCATAAAATGTAAATTCTCCAACTCAGAAAGCTGTTTTGCTATTTGCACAATAGGACTTTTGGAGTTTTTTATATACTTCTTTAATGTTTGCATATAATTTTCGAAAGGAAATGAAGACAACTTATTTAAAGAACACCCAAAATTTTTTACATCATCATGAACATGTATAATACAATGAACATTGTATACACAAAACGTATTTCCGTATAAAAATTTGGCTTTTCTGCAAAAATATACTAATAAATTGTAAGCATAATCAAGATAGTAATTACGAAATTCATCATTTTCAGACAATAAAATACGCATTGCAATGCTAAATGTCAAAAAATGTTCATATATTGCATCTGAAACAATGCCCTTTAAAACAATAGCACCTAAATAAAGTAAAAACTCCCTAAATTCTGTTGCCTTCCAAAATAATAAATCTTCTAAAGATCGTGGTTGCCTTGCAAAATCTGAAGGAAGTTTACCGTTATAAGAAATAAGTTTAGCAGATATTTCTAATACCTGTGAGTTTGATAATTTGCATATCCTAGGACCAGATTTTAGAAAGATTAATATTTTTTTTGTAATTCCAAGGCACACTAAATGCATATAATCTAATATGAAATCTTTGATGCAGTCAAAATCATCTATTTTAACTAATGGTGATAGTTGCACTTGATGGCTATTTATATACAGAAATTGATTAAACTCTTCCTTTATACGAAGCGGATAAGTAATATCATCATTATAAACAGTTCTGTTACTATCACGAGAACCTTTTACTTGACATCGCTCACATGCATTATAACCTGTATGACCAATTATACACTTAAGAAAGGATCGTGCAGGTGCATCACATATAAAAGCTTTAAGTTTTACAGCATAAATTTTATCATTAAAATGAATACCATCAATTTTCAAAATATTTATTTCCTTTATAAAATCATCAAGATAATCTGTAACACAATTAGGTTTGCTTGTTCCAGAATATAAAGCAATAGTAAAAACATTTGAACCATCAAATTTACCCAAAATAGGCCAAAGCTGAACTTTTGATGATTTGAATAAAGGAAGTCCATCAATGTTAATATATAGGTTTATAGAATCGTTGTTTAAATGAAAACTCGGAAGAAAAACTAACTGCTTTAATACTGAACATTTTATACCAAAATAAATATATTCTCTGCCACATTTTTGTTTATAATCAATTTCTCTAGGAGTTTTAAGTAATGTACGTGAATCTTTTGGCAAATAGCAATGTCCACTTTCCCTTAAAAGTTTGAGTAAATCGTCCATGCAAGATCTTGATAAATTGTGTTTACATGATAAGCTAACTAGACCATAAGTGATATCTTTATCTCCATTATCACTGTGACCACTATCATCGTCTAATGTAGGATGCATTGCTGGAACAGTATTAAAATCACATTCATCATAACTTCGGTCAGACTCTAACGATATGGATTTTGACGTGCTGTCTGACTCAGAGAGCACACCTAAATCGATATTTTTACTAGTCACGTCATTAGTGCAAACTGAAACTACATTTTTGACACATAAAGTATCAGTAACCAAAGAGTTATCTTCATTAGAACTAAAACTATCCTCCTCTTTAACGATTTTCTTAAGTTCAGCATTTAATCTTCTGTATTTACGATAATACGCCATTTCTTTACAAGTACATAAAATCAATAACCTACATAAAACGTGCTCGATTTGGTTTAACGACGCGGAAACTGAAAGCCTCTTATTGAAAGTACCTCGTGTTGAAAGTACTTCTCAAACAGTTTATTTAGATGCTATTTAGTATACAGGTATACGTATTTAAAACGTATACAACGCGTATTATTTGTATAATACGAAAATAAGACAAGTAGAATACGTATTGGACACGTCTTGTGCCGGCTGGGCTGTTGCAGTAGTAGAAACAAATTTATAACTGTATTAAACGTATTCATTCTTCGTATGAACGCATAAAAAGTTTCAAGTCGATATGTCATTTCAGTCTTTGTTTACAAGCTATTGAAATTAGACGTGTCATAGTATTTTTTAAAATGGAAAATATTGAACATCGTGCTGTAATAAAATTCTTTGTGAAAAAAGGTTTAAAGCCCATGGAAATTCATAATGAAATGGTAAATGTGTTGGGTGATGATGCTCCTTCAAAAACAACAGTATGCAAATGGGCTGCGGAGTTTCAACGTGGGCGTTCAAGCCTTGAAAATGACCCTCGCTCTGGACGTCCAAAAAGTGCTATTACTGAAGAAACGATTAATGCTGTGCATGACATGGTTATGGATGATAGACGATTGACCAAACGTGAAATTGCTGAGGCTGTGGGCATCTCAGATGAACGGGTATTACACATCTTGCACGATGAATTACGTCTGAGAAAGCTGTTGGCAAGATGGGTGCCGCATTCGCTAACTCTGGATCAGAAACGCACTCGAGTAAAACTTTCTCAAGAACATTTGGCCCGTTTTCAAAAGAATAAAACAGATTTTGTGCGTCGATTCGTAACCATGGATGAGACTTGGGTTTACCACTATGATCCGAAGCTGCGACAACAAACTGCAGAGTGGACAGAACCCGGTTGTTCAGCTCCGAAGCAAGTGAAGGCGTCAAAATCGTCAAAGAAGGTTATGGCATCAGTTTTTTGGGATGCGAAAGGAATTTTATTAATAGATTACCTTCAAACCGGTAAAACGATAACAGGTGAATATTATAAAAATCTTTTGGACCAGTTGGATAAAAAAATTCGTGAGAAAAGACCTGGTTTGCTGCATAAAAAAATCATTTATCACCAGGACAACGCACCTGCTCATATCAGCGATGTTGCAAAGGCGAAATTGGTCGAATTAAAGTACGAATGCTTGGAACATCCACCCTATTCACCAGATCTGGCTCCGTCCGACTTCCACCTCTTTCCACATCTCAAAAAATTTCTACGTGGAAAGCGTTTCTCATCACATGAAGAAGTCATTGCAGCCGTAAATGGGTATTTTGAAGGCCTTCCGGAATCGCACTTCAGAGATGGGATACATGAATTGGAGAATCGTTGGAAAAAGTGTATTGCTCTTAAGGGAGAATATACTGAAGAATAAAGTCATTTTTTGAATCATAAAATTGTTTTTTCATTTCCGCTCCGCGAACTTTTCAACCAACCTAGTAGATATAGTTTATATTCAAGGTTAAATTCTTGTTTATAGTTATATACATGGATTATCCTTGTATATAGTTTATGTATAAGAATAAATTCTTCACAGGACATTCTAAAGCTGAACGTTTGGACGTCCTTAAATCAAGTTAGGACATCTTTAAGGTATTGCATGTCTATATTATGGTCATGCGACACCTTAAGGACGTCCGAATGAGGTTCGACGAACGTCGCTAGGAAAACGCTTGTCCACTGGATACTTTTAAAACTGAAATTTCAATGACGGCTGCGATTGTTAAAGGAATAAAATTCTAATAATGTTTAAAAGATTAATTTTATTTGTTATAAAATTGTAAAGCTAATGCTGGCTAGTTTATAATAAAATTCCAATCAATTAGGATTATTTGGTTATTAAAAGATTCAAGTTTATCATCTGTAAAAATACACTCTTGAATAATTAATACATAATGAAAAACTCGTTTTTCATTAGATATTAATTTTTGATCCATATTTGTAGAAAAGAAATAGGAAAATGATCAGATAATTTTTAATTATGCTTTTTTTTAAGGATTTGCTAAAAATATCAGTTGTAAAAATAATATCAATTAAATAAGCACTTGATTGAATAGTTCTTGTCAATTTGGGCCACCTTTAGAAAAAAGACACCATTTTAAGACATCCTTAAAAGATTGGTGTTCAAAAGGACCACCTTAAGAAAAAAGACACCATTTTAAGACATCCTTAGAAGATTGGTGTTCATTAAGAAAAGTTATTATAGTATCTTCTAGATTCTTCAATCCATAGCACGAGCATTGGTGCAAATTTAATAAGACGCTCAATCAAGTCGCATTCTCAAATATCCCGAATAATAAATGTCAATTTACCAGTGTGTCAAATGTTTCAAGTGGAACCCACGCTTATTAAATAGCAATTTGACTCTTGTGTTTTTTCTAAATAAAAGAATTAAAAAAATTTCCTCAGAATTTAATAAACCCTTCGTAAAAGCTTGCTGACAAATACAATGGATTTCTTCTTCCACAATATTCATACGTTATAATAATATATATAATTTATTACAAATCCTTAAACATTTGTAAGTAGGGCAATTAACAAAGTTTCGCTATGATAAATGTCAACTCGTTTTGTTTTTAATTAAAAGTTTTAGAAAAATAAGTCCTGTTGACTTTTAAAAACGTTAACTGACGCGGCATATACGATGGAGTTTGGAAGGATGTTCCGATCAGGTACGATGCAAATACAAAGGAAGGATTCTCTTTGTAAACAGCTTGCTACTGCTTGACGTTGAAAACGATGACTTTACCACGGAGGCCGTTGGTTGATCCTTGCACGTTTAGTGCTCGAGCTAGTGAGTTTGGTTTACAAAGCTCAATTTTGTTAATGCCGTGGTATAGTTGAAAAACTGTATTAGGTTACCACTACGCCTTCTATTCTTAAGCAATTGAATGTTTATTGCAGCTAGTCTTTGGTGACTTAAAGGCTTGAGATGAGGTACAAATTTAGTAACTCTTCCTTGCACTGACTCGAGACCATATATGTCTCCACATTAATAGGTATTCCAGACGGCAGAGTAAAATTCGAGATGTGGTCGTACATAAGTTGGATAAAGTATACGAACGCTGTATATGTCCCAATAGGAGAACTTTCTCTTTAACATGCCTATAGCCATGTTGGATATAGCTATAGCGTGTGCGACTTTGTCCTGCCACTTAAGTCAGTCGTTGACAATGATACAGTTGTAAATCGGATACGACCTACAACTTTGAAAGCGTTTAGGAACTTTACTTTTTGTAGAAAATTTAAGACACCCTTTTAAAAAAGAGTAATATTCACTTAGTAGTTCTGGAATTCATAATTTCCACTGATCCTATAATTTGATTTTCTCTACGTAATAACGGGTGATGCATAATTAGTGACACAAAAATCAAAGCCTTATATTTTTAAAGAAATAAAAGAAAAAAAAATTTTCATTTTTAAAAAATAATAACAATATTTATTTTTTAAAAATTATTATTTGTAAATTGATTGAACGGCTTGATCGGCTATTAATCTCAATTTAGTTTTGATACCCTTCATAAGGGATTGTAAAAATGTCAAATCAATTTTTTTCAGACAGGCTTCGATACGCCGAATCAGTTGTTGTTCACTTTTAGCCTCCCATCTACCCTCATACACATTCTGAGCCAATACTCCCCAAAAGTCTTCGATTGGCCTGACTTTGGGGACATTAGGAGAGTTCATATCGACCGGCACGAAGTGAATTATTTCATTTATCCACGATATTGCCTCTTTAGCTCTATGGGCACTAGCTAAATCCGGCCAAAATATTTAATTTAAATCATCGTGATGCTTATCTATGAATGGCAACAATCGTTCCTCTAAGCATTCTTTGATATAAATTTTGGATTTTATTGCAGCCGAGGTTGACGACCGGAAGAGTGGTTTCGACATTCCACGCTCAGATAATGCGATCCAAACGAGAATTTTTGTCGGAAATTTCTCTTTTCCCACAAAACGAACATTTTCTGGACATTTTTCTTTGTCGTTCGTGTAATAACCGGCGTTTCCAGGCATTTCATCGCCAGCAAAACAAAAGTATTTTTCGTCGTCCAAAATTAAAACGCTTTGTTCTTTGTAGAGGTGATTGACGAGTTTTCGACTTCTTTTTTGTGCCCTTAGACGTTGTTCATCATTGTATTTCGGTGTTTTTACCCGTTTCCGATATTTTATGTTCATTTTGGCTAATTTTCTACAAATTGTTGCTTGATTTACGTTGAATTTACGTGCGAGCTTTCTTTGACTTACACCTTTTCGATTGTTGGTCAAACTTTTAAGTTTCGCTTTTTTTTCCACGATGTCCACGATGACAGGCGACCAGAGTTTTTTTTTATTTTTAAAAATTGTCCATCAAACTGTCGATTGATATATCTATATGGTGTTTTGCGAGCGATTTCTTCTTTAATAAAATGGTTAGCGGCTTCGGCTTTGGTCGCTTTTGGGTTTTTTACAAAAAGTTTTTTGACGCTTTTTTGAAGAGCTGCTCTTTCTTGGCCGTTTAACATTTTTTTTGGATAATTTTTTTTTTAATAAAACTAGAATATTCAATTTACCAAAATAAATTTATATGGTTTAATGAAAAAGATTATATTACGAGCAAAACTAAGTTAACTTTTGTGTCACTAATTACGTATCACCAGTTAGTAAACAAGAAAAACAAGAAAAAGCGACAAAAACAATTTTTGGCAGAACTTTATATCAAAAGTTCAAATTATCGAAATGCTGTTGAATAAATAATCTATAGTTGTATTTGAAAGTGCAAGTATAGATTATTTTCTTATTCAACATCTTTTTCATTAATAGGTTTTAATTACTGGTAACACAGAGTTTTTTGAATCTGACATCATTTCATTGAAAATCATCAACATTTTCAATGCACTGTTCAATCAAGGTTTGACATCAAAAACCAGCAGTTTAAATATGATTTCAAAAGATTGAGCTTTTTTTTTTAGGCTCTTTGACTAACTTAAGGTTGTGTTTTTATAATTTTTTTAGAATAGTTCATCTTAGAGAGTTGTAAACAAAGTCGTAGTTAACTGCCTCTTTATCTTTGATATTTTTTTATTTCTCAGAGAAATACGTGAAAAATTCTTGTGAGCAAATTTTGATGGTTTTTTCAATATTTTTTATTAGTAATCTTGTTTTTAATAATT